AAGTAAACTCCATTGTGTATATATACCGCATTTTCTTAATCCATTCATCTACTGAAGAGCACCTGGGCTAATTCCATAACTTGGCTATTGTGAATTATGCTGTTATAAATATTGATGTGTCTGTATCACTATGGCATGCTGATTTTAATTCTTTTTGGATGCATGCCAGAGAGTAAGATAGCTAGGTCATATGGTAGTTCCATTCCTGGTTTTGTTGTTGTTGTTTGTCTTTGTTTGTCATACCATACACATTTTAATTTTAACCCTATATCTTTTTTTAACTCTATATTTCTTCAGAGTTAGAGCTTCAAGTGAATATATTTGACTTAACCATTTCTAGTTTTTTGTTTTTTCTTTGAGGAATCTCCATACTGCTTTTCAGAGTGGTTGTACTAATTTGAAGTCCCACCAACAATGTATGAGTGTACTTTCCCTCCCACATACATGCCAGCATGTAATATTATTTATATTCTTGAAAACTGTCATTCTGATAAGTGAGATGAAATCTCAATTTAGTTTTGATTTGCATTTCCCTGATTTCTAGGGAAGCTGAACATTTTTTGTTGGTTATTTGCATTTCTTCTTTTGAAGAATGTCTGTCTAGTTATTTTGCCCATTCATTGATTGGGTTATTTGGTTTGGTTTGTTGATTGTTTATTTGTTTTTCAGTGTTCATCTTTTTACACTATTTATATTTTCTGGATATTAATCCTTTATCAGAGGTGTATCTGGTAAAGATTTTCTCCCATTCCATAAGCTTCACACTTTTAATCATTTATTTTGCTGTTTAGAAGCTTTTTAATCTGATGTTATCCCACTTGTTGAAGCTTGGTTTTATTTCTTGAGTTTTAGCGGTCTTGTTAAGGAAGTTTGTACCTGCACCAATATGTTGGAGTGTGGAGCTGATGTTTTTCCTTCTGGCAGTTGCAAAGTTTCAGGTCTATTTCCTAAGTCTTTAATCCACTTTGATTTGACTTTTGTGCAGGATGAAAGGTAGAAATATAATTTCATTTTATTTTTCTTTTTAAAATTTCATTATTTTTAAATTTCATTTTTCTACATATGGGGTATGTAGTTTTCCCAGCACTATTAGTTTAAAGGACAATCTTTTTTCTAACATATATTTTTGGCACCTTTGTCAAGTATCAAATAACTGTAACTATGTGGGTTTGTCTCTGTGTCTTCTATTCTATTCCATTGTTCTTTATGTTCATTTTGATGCCCAAACCACACTATTTTAATTACTATGGCTCTGTAGTATAATTTGAGTTTAGGTATTGTGATACTTCTTGCATTACTCTTCTTGCTCAGGATTGTTTTAGATATTCTGGGTCTCTTATTCTTCCAAAGAATTTTAGGACTGTTTTTATAGTTCTATGAAGAATGTCATCAGTATTTTGATAGAGATTTCATTTAATTTGTGTAAAACTTTTAGTAGTATGGCCATTTTCAGAATATTATTTCTGCCTACCCAAGAAATCGGAGGTCTTTCCATCTTGCTGTGCTGTCTTCAATTTCTTTCATCAATGTTCTATAATGTAAATTGTAAAGATCTCTCACCTCCTTAGTTAAATTAATTTCCAAGTGCTTTATTTTATTGATCTTATCGTAAATGATATAGTTTTCCTGATTTCTTTCTCAGAAAACTCACTATCGAAGTATAGAAAAGCTGTTGATTTTTGAATGTTCATCTATGGATGATGATCTTGTATCCTGCTACTCTGCTGAACTTATTTATCAGCTCTAGAAGTCTTCTGGTGGAGATTTTTGAGTTTTCTAGATATAGGATCATGTCATCAGCAAACAGAGATAATTTAACTTTTTCTTTTCGTCCTTGTATCCCTTTAATTTCCTTCTCTTGCCTGATTGCTCTGGCTAGAGTTTCAAGAAGTATACTGAACAGAGGTGGTGAGAGTGAGCATCCTTGTCTTGTTCCTGATTTTTAAAGTAAATGCTTTCAGTTTTTTGTATCATATTGGCTTTGGGTTTTTCATATATAAACTTTATAATATTTTATAACCTTTAAAATATAATAACATGAATGGGTGCTGGATTTTATCAAAAGCCCTTTCTGCATCTATTGAGATGATCATATGATTCTTGTCTTTAGTTCTATTTATGTGGTGAATTACATTTATTGATTTGCATATGTTGAACTAACCTTGTATTCCTGGGATTAGACCCACTTGTTTATGGTGCACTTTCTTCTTGGTGTATTTTTTAAATGCAATTTGCTAATATTTTATTAAGGATTTTTGCATTTTTTTTGTACCAGAGATTGAATTCAGGGACACTCAACCACGGAGCCGTATCCCCAGCCCTATTTTGCATTTTATTTAGAGACAGGTCTTCACTGAGTTGCTTAGTGCCTCACTAAGTTGCTGAGACTGGCTTTGAACTTGTGATCCTCCTGCCTTAGCCTCCTGAGCCATTGGGATTACAGGTATGCACCACCACTCCTGGCCTGCATCTTTGTTCATCAGAGATATTGGTCTGTAATTTTCTTTCCTTGATTTGTCTTTCCAGACAGTTATAGGTGAAATTATTTTTGTGTGTGGTGCTGGTGATTGAACCCAGGGCCTTGTGCATGCAAGGTAAGCACTCTACCAACTGAGCTATATTCCCGGCCCTTCCAGACAGTTTTAAATGAACTATATTTTTAAAACGCCAACTTGTTACTGTCATAAAAACAACCTATATTTACAACTTTTGGAAAATGAATCCTTGTTTATCAATTTGTGCATTTATTCAAAACAAATGCATAAATTATCAATTACACATTATGTACGTAAAATTATTATAATTTTTATATATATTACATATATATTTTTCTACAATACTTTCATCAGCATTTGAAGTTTACTATTTTTATCAGTTTTCTGCTATAATACAGAATTCCACAGATTGGATAATTTATAAAGAAAAGACATTTATTTATATCTCGAAGTTCTGGAGGATGAGGAGTCCAATGTCAAGAGGACAGCATCTAGCTGGGGCCTTCCTGCTGTGCCATCCCACAGAAGGAGGAAGGACAAGTGAGTTCTTGAGAAAGGGAGAGAATGGGGTCAATCTTAACTTTTTATTGGGAGGCAACTCCCATAATAATTAACCCTCTCTGAAGATAAGTTATTCAAGATCAAACCACCTTTAAAAAGTTCCCTTCTTAGTATGGTCATGATAGTAATTAAATTTCATCATGAGATTTGAAGGGAACATTGAAACCATGGCAGATGCTGAGACTTAAATGGGTTGAGAACCACTACTTTAGGTTACATATTCTACTTGAACAATTCTCTGTAATCAACCAGTTCTTCATTAAGGAAAAACTTGAAGGAGTTTTATTATTATTGTAATTCAAATTTGAAATTTATAATGCATATCTTTATAGGAAAACAGATTTTGTTTTCCTATCAAAAGTATCCTCTTTCCATTCAAATAAAGTGTGGTTAAAATTTTTATTAACATTGATATATATTTTATATAAATTTGGTTTTGTATTTTTTAAGTAACTAAAGTTTTATTGTTTTTTTTTTACTTGTTTGATTTTAGTGATTACCTTAATACTTTCATAAAATATTCCCTTAGGTGGTATTGAGTAAAATAAGCTGAATAAAAACCATCTTTTTCTGGAATCACTTTCAAGCACTAAATTTCAGATTAAAATGTTGTTCTTTTAGTAAACATAATGTAATTTCATTAATAGAATAATTTATTAGTACATGGGATTTTCATAATGACACATATGATTTATTTGCAATTATTACATTATTACATTATTATTACATATTACATTTATTTAATCATTTATTCATCATATAAGAGATGGCAAAACAGGCAATGAAAATTTTATTAGTAACTGAGGCTTTGCTTCACGCATTATTATGGTTTTAATGTGAGGCGCCTCCCAAAAGCCCATGGGTGAGACAATGCAAGAAGATTCAGAGGAGAAATAATTGGATTATGAGAGCCTTAACTCAATCAGTGAATTCATCCTCTGATGGAATTAATTAAGTGGTAACTGAAGGTGGAGAGGTTGTGGCTACAGGAGATGGGTCATTGGGGGTGTGCCTTTAATATATATTTTCTGTCTGGTAAGTGGAGTCTCTTTCTCTGCCTCCTGATCATCATGTGAACTTCTTCCCTCCACCACACTCCTCTGCCATGATATTCAGCCTCACCTTGAGCCCCCAGGAATGAAGTCAACCTTTGAAACCATGAGCCCTCAAATAAACTTTTTCTCCTCTACAATTGTTCTGGTCAGGTCTTTTAGTCACAGCAGCAGGAAAGCTGACTTTTTCCTTAGAAGGATAATAAACAAGCACTAATGTTGAAATGCCAATAGGCTAAGAGTCTTTGGAAAGAATTGTTTTTCCAAAGCTAATAAAGTCTAAAACCTCAAAGCATAATAACTTAAGTGGCCTACTTTGACCGTTTATCTATGTCTTAGTTCATTTTCTGTTGTTATAACAAAATGCCTTGTGGTAAAGGAAAAAGGCTTGGTGAGCTTACAGTTTTGGACATTCAAGAGCATGGCATCACCCTTGATGAGCTCTGGTGACATTCTATGGCAGATGGTGTCACATGGTGGAAGTGTGTATAAAAAGAGATCACATGGTAAAGCTAGAAACCAGAGGGATTCAGAGGTCAGGTTGGTCATTTTATAACAACTCACTCTTGAGAGAACTAACTGGGGTCCTACAAGGACTACATTAATCCCTGCAGAGGGCAGTGACCCTAAGGACCTAATAACCTTGCACTGGGCTCCACCTCTTAACGGTTCTACTACCTCTCAGCATTGGGTCACTGAGGACCAAGCTTCTAGTATGTGAGACTTTGAAGGATACACACAAGCCATATTCAAGTCATAACATTCTGTAATCTATTCCAAAATCCATTACTTTGATTCATTACTTTAAAATCAACTGTCATCAACCAGAAGGAAAGGAACCAGAGAGCATCAGCAACCAGGACTTAAAAACAAGTGACTCTCAAAGTTAACATTTCAAATGAAAAGGTTTAAGGTTTTATTTTATTCCCAGTAAAAGTATACCTTCAAGCCCTCAAGAGAGGAAAAGGAAGAAAAGTCAAAAACAATAAACCTAGCAGTGCTGAGACCTCTACTTCAACAAGGGCCAAGATGGTCTGGCAGTGGCCTTTCTCAGATCTTGTCTCTGAGGGGCTGGCAGAGAAACAAATGGCACTTGGAATATGCTTCTTGGTTTCTCTGTTCACTCTCTACCTGTTCTTTCCTGAATGAAAAGAAAAGTGTTGGCTTTAGATAATTTTTCAGAGTTATCTGAGATAAGTTAAAAACAAAATCAAATAGAAATATATTTCAAGTCACCCAGAATCTTGTCTTTTAGATTTCATCTTTAGGATCAGTCAATAATATGTTATAACATTTTCCTACTAAAAAAAAAGAATATCTGGAAATATGAATATTTCCCTAAGCAACTTAAATACGCATAAAAACATTTTCCCCATAGGAAAAGGGCACAACTATCTCATATATTTTATGTTTACAAAATAAAAACATGATTTTATATCTTAAATATTTATTCATTCTAAAAAAAGAGAGTGAAAGTTACATGGTGTTAGTTCAACCAGGAAAATATATTTCATCATTATGACATCCTTTATCAATGTTTATTACTGTGCAGAAAAATACCATGCATTGAGTGACTTAAAGCAGCCACATTATGGGTTCATAATTCCATGGATTAAATATAAGCACTGCATGGCTGAACTCCCACTCAGAATTACACAACAGAAATCAAGGTGTCAGCCAGGGCTATGATCTTATCTGGTTTCCTAATCCTCTTTCAAGCTCCCCACCAATTGGCAGGATTAAAATTTCCTTGCAATTGTGGACTGATCTCCTGTTTCCCTGTTAGTTGTGGGTGGAGGACTGTTTTCAACTCTTTGAGGCCACCTCTTGCCATATGCCATCTATAAAATGAATGAATGTTGCTTTCTTCCAGGCCACTAGAACATGTCTCTATGACTTCTCCTGGAACCAGACTGAGAAAAATTCTTTGCTTTAAAAAATTTCAGACAGCCATATGTGGTGATGCAACCCTGTAATCCCAGCACCTCCAGAGGCTGAAGCAGGAGGATCACAAGTTCGAGGCTCTAAGCAACTTAGGAAGATCTTGTTTCAAGATAAAAAATAAAAAGGGCTGGGGATGTAGCTCAGTAATAACTTTGGGTTCAGTCTTTAATACTGCAAACAACAACAAACTCATGTGATTTGATTAGGATCACAAAGAAAATCTCCTTTTCTTGAAGCAAATTGTGTAACACGACTCAACCTCATCAGGGTAAAATCCATCGTATTTATAATCACAAGGATTATGCAGGGCATGTACAATAGGGAAGGGAATCTTGGACGCTATCTTGGAATTCTGCTGCTCACATGTTCTTTTACTATAATGATTACTAGAGGAACAGCGTTTCTAAGGAGTAGGTTTAAAAAAAAAGAAAAAGAAAAAAAGAAAAGAAAGACAGTCCCAAAGAAGAAATGGTCCCAATGAAGATCAAAAGAAGTCAGGGTAAAAAAAAAAAAAACTTGTTATTGTTGTGTGATGAGACAGAAATCTTGACTATAGTGATTCCATTTTGTTTAGTGACTCCATTTTGTGAAACAGCCATGCCAACTAGAAAGGTCATGACTGGGGCAAGTTGTTTTTCCTTTTGTTGTGGATACCCTCAAGAACACGGAACTATCTAACTGGGCTTTGTTTCTGTAAATGGGGTAACTGGGCTTATTTTGATTGGCTAACCCTCCCACTTCTGTTAACTTGCTTGCTTGCATTAGCTAAACCCCCTAACATCTCTTTTGTGTGTGTGTGTGGTTTTTTTTTTTTGCTTAAATATGAAGCCAACTTGAAGGGGGTACACCACTCTGACTATCTCACTTTTAGAGAGTAGAGTTTCCACTGCTGGCCAGCAATAAAGGCTTAATTGGAATGGCAATGTGTGGTCTGAGAGTTATTTGAGGGTCTCGGTTTGATCCTCAGCACCACATAAATAAAATAAAGGTGGGCTGGGGTTGTGCCTCAGCCTAGGTCGTGCAAAGCCCTGGGTTTGAACATCAGCACCACATAAAATAAGTAAATAAAATAAAGGTATTGTGTCCACCTAGAACTAAAAATATTTGAAAAAAACGAAAAAGACAAGGAAGATCAGTTGAGTAGACAAAGGGGAATAAAGGGAAGGGAGGTGGGATAGAATAGAGAAAGATGGTGATGTAACCTTCCTATGTACCTATATGAAAAAACCAGAATGAATCTCACAATCACATACATTCCCAAGATACTAATTTAAAAAATAGACTCTAAGATAAAAAAAGAAAGGGGAGTTTGAAAAGAGAAAGGGTGTAATAGAAGAGAGGTGGAAGATAAAATGCACCAAATAATTGGACAAAGTATTGAATAGTGAGTACAGAGCCATCAAAGGGTAAGAGATTTTGGGAAACAAAAAGGAAAAAAATCCAAGTTATTGAAATTAGATGTGGTAACAAGCAATTTAGATTTTGAGTTGTTTGAGAATATTTAAGTCTTAAATATTCCCAAGTTGGCCTCAAATTGAAAAATCACAAAATCTCTTGAGATAATGGATCATTATTAGAGTCCAATAGCTAAATAATTTTGCATTTTATAGGTGTTTTGGTGTGAATTTATGAATATCATCTAACTGTATATGGATTGTGAAGCTAATTTGAATGGGAAATGGTTATATATTAGGCAAGTCAGAATGTGTTTTCTCATAATTTGACTGTGATTTCTGTTACTATAAAAGATTGTCATCAAGTTCATGCCATTTAAGTTTCCTATAATCTCATACTTGTTTTAAGCAGCTGGTAAGAATTGATCATATATAATATATCCAATCAAAGAAGAGGGTTTCAGCAAAACACCTGGCATATGTGAAGAAGTGAATTGAAAAAGAAATCATAGTTTATCTAAGAACCTTTAGATATAAGAGGAACAAAAAACAGAGAAGTTTGAGAGAACCCTTAGGGCAGGGTTAGAATTCCCATCTTGTGGTTTCTCACATAGTTTGTGAAGATATGAACATAAATGTAATTGGATTTGATGCCGTTATCACATATTTAGAACAGCTTTTGGTCACATGATGCTGCATTAAATTCAAAGCTAATGTCACAAAAAAGCAATGCCTCTCAAGCTTTAGTGCACATTATGTAGGGATCTTTTGAAAATGAGGATTCTGACTTAAAAATCTGGGGTGAGTCCCAAGAGTTTGCATTTCCAGCACACTTTCTGTGATGGCTACAAGGGCAGAGGGCAGTCCTAGGATGAGTCTTTTGGGCTTCCCTCCTTGTGAAAGTGGAGAACTTTAATGTTAGATGTTAATATTATCTTTGGAAACATTATCATATATGCAATATAAGATGTAGAGGCTAACAACATTGTCTCTTCAGTCCTGTATTCACTTGGGTTCCTTTAAGCTCTGTGTAAATCTGGAGGTGATCGGCAGTATCACTATTAGACCTGGCAAGTGGGAACCTTGTCCTAGTCCTGCAGCTCAGGAGCCTTTGCTCTTTGGAGTGGCCTTTTTGAAAGTTTTAAATCCTCTTTTGGTGGCACTTCTGTTTCTCCCCTTTGGGGTACTCTCTCTCCTCCTGCATATATGGATTACAAGATATCCTGGAAAGCTCTTGGACTTGTATCTATGGGGCCCTGTTTCCTGGCTATGCTCCAGGAGGTTCACCCAGAGAGCAGATTGTTACTGCTGGTTGGCAGATATTTCTTTTGCTGGATCATGTGAGATTGGGCTTCCAGAATGATGCTCGCATATTTATTTTGAGTGATGTTCACTTACATCAGACATAGTTCTAATTCAGGGCTTTGAGTGTTTATTATCTGTGTTCTGAACATGGTTTCACCCCTGATATGTAACATCCAAGGGCTGCAGGGATGGGATCAAATATCCTTGACATTAACTTGCCAGTAATTTGCCACTGTCACTCAGAACAGTCGCCCCATCTCCTCTATGTCATGGGTCAGGGAGTCTTTTGGTGGGAGACTGCATCTACTTCTTGTGAGGGCTCTCTAGATTATTGCTTCTCCATACCAATAGATCATTCTGATTGATGTAGTGATGCTGTGTTCTCTATGACTGGTGTTAAGCTGTCCCAGAGGAGGGTCAGACATTCCTTGTACAAAGGGGACTGCTGATTTTGTTCTCCTGGGACAAAATAATTCCCTCCTGCTGGAAGTGATGAATGGGAAGCAGGGTGCAGTCAACATGAAAAGTATCAATCCTGGGAATGCAGTGTTTAAGGCTGAAACAGTTCAAGACAAGTCATGGTTGGAAGATGTGTTGTTCTGTTATGTTGTAACATTCTATATAATAAATCAAATCTATCTAGAATTCAAATTTATCATTTGTGTTTTCCTGTATAGCCTGGGTCAATCTTGAGTTCATGGTTATTACCAAAGAAATGCAATACTCATCTGTCACAGTGGATGATATTTCACAATGCACAAAGTAATGGTGAAATACTAAATAAATAGTAGTACAATATTGTTTTAGTCAGCTTTTTCACTGTTGCAACTGAAAGAACCAATCAGAACAATTGTACAGGAAGAAAAGTTTATCAGAGGGCTCACGGTTTCAGAGGTCTTAGTCCATGGACAGCAGAATGTATTCCTTGGGGCTCCTGGTGAGGCAGGACATTATGGTGGAAGAGTGTGGCAGAGGAAAGCAGCTCACATGGTGATCAGAAAGCAGAGAGAGGTCTCTATTCGCCAGATACAAATATATACCCCAAAGCCACGCTCCCAGTTCCCACCTCCTCTAGCCACACCCTACCGCTTCAGTTACCACTATCAGGCTTGATCTTTCTTGCATTGCCTCACATGTGAGCTTTTGCAGAACACCTCTCATCCAAACCACAACAGACATTTCAGAAGTAGAAAATTCATATTATTCCAATATAAACATGTTACAAAGAGCCATAGCATTATAAGTAATAACAGTATTGTTACCCCTTTTTTGTAGTGACAGGTATGAAGTTGACAAGGAATGGCTTATTTGATAATAAAGGAAATAAAGAAATAACTCCTGGACCAAACAAGAAGAGATGATACCTCGGTATCAAGAAGGATTTTACAGGGCTGGGGCTCAGCAGTAGCGCACTTGCCTGGCACGTGTGAGGCACTGGGTTTGATTCTGAGCACCACATATAAATAAATGAAGGTCTATCAGCAACTAAAAAAATATTTTAAAAAAGAAGGATTTTACATGCTCTGACTGGACAATAAACTAATAGCCCATTATTCCAAATCTTCAGTAAACCACAATACCACTTGCACATGAACTATGAATTTTATGATACATCTTTATTTAAGTAGTTTATATAGATAAGATCATTTTAAAAAGTATTTGCCTATAGATCTGCACTCTAGTGGCAGTCCTGGGACTGGTGGGAGTGAGGAGATGGAGATTATCATAGTAAAACATTTAGAAACTCAGCTGGAATTTATAGGAAAGAAGTCTACATTCACAATATTCAAGAAAAAATGGGCAAAAATAGTTCATTTGTGCTTCCAGGCATTTCTTTCTTTTTTTTTTTTTTTTTTATTTTTCGGCGGACACAACATCTCTGTTTGTATGTGGTGCTGAGGATCGAACCTGGGCCGCACGCATGCCAGGCGAGCGCGCTACCGCTTGAGCCACATCCCCAGTCCAACTTCCAGGCATTTCTGTGAGCTTTATTTAGAAAGGATTAAAACCAAAAGTGGAATTAAAACAGAAAATTTTGGGCCAAGGGCATACCTCAGTGGTAGAGCTCTAGCTTAGCATACACAAGGCCCTGGGTTCAATCACTAAAAACTAAATAAAAATAAAACAAAAAACAAAAAGAAAATCAAAACCAAAAACAACCCCCAAAATAGGAAGTTTTATTTTTTGTGGGGATTTATTTGGGTAGATTATGGTGTTAATATGTGTATAACTGAATATTTTTGAATTGGCTGGTATGTTTAGTAATTGCTCAATAATGTACAACAAAAACCAAATATGTACAAGAACTTCCATCAAGTAAAAGACTAAGGTGTTGAGATTTCACAATTGCAAATCTGTAAATATTTGGCTCACCAAGTTAGATAAACAATATAGCTCATTATTTACTCCCATGCTGTGAGAAAAACTGAACATTAAAGACAGATTATTAGTAAAATAAATTCTTTTGTAATTCATATAATCAAAGAAACAAGACAAAATTTTCACTGTTTACAAAGTGCCAACTCAAAGCAATATTAAAATCCTTCATCAAAATAGAAATCATTACAAATAATTTTTGGAAGGCAATCTGGCAGTATTTTATGAAATTTTAATGGTTTGCCTTATTGTTTACTTATGTAGTAATTTAGTTTATAAAATATTTGCACAACACTGCAAATATCTACGTAAAAACATACTTACTATCTGCCGCAGTCTGGCTGGGCACAAATGCCGTCTGGCTGGGCACAAATGCCGCAGTCTGGCTGGGCACACAATCACGAGCCACCACACAGCTTGTAGATTCAAACAGCAACTCTTTATTCCCGAACTCACACCAGCCGTCTACAAACACGTTCTGGGGAAATCCACGTTCTCTTCCCAAATCCACCTTCTCTCCCAAACTCACCTCCACTGGGCTTCTATCTCCAAAATATACTGTCTGAATCCCGTGAGAACTCAAGGGGAACTCAGGCAGCAGGATACGCCCTATTCCCAGCAGGAATAATCTTAAACCTTAAACCTGGAACCTAAACTGGGAACGCCCTAAACAAGATTATCTTAAAACCGGGAACACCCTAATCTGCCTTGGTCCTTGAGCAAGGTTAAGTACATTCAATGTCACTGCAACATGGGGTACGCTGGCAAGGAAATTGTCATACTTACTTGGCTAATGGCTCCCAGCATCTCCCCCCTTCTGATTAATTAAACAACAAGCAATGTGGCTTAAGGACCGTGCCTGGTAGGTTGTCCAATTCAACATATGGTTCTTACCCGTCATCGGAAAACTGACCTTTAGGCGTCAGCCTCCTGTCTTAGGTTGATACCACTGCAATTGAATCATACCCGTCACTGACTACCGGTCCAGCATACAGCCATACTTGTGGATAGGTCTATGCACCAGTGGGGGGGTGAGGTTCTTTGCCTCACCTCTGTTGGCCCCCAAATTTGGCCTTGGTGCCAGTGGGGGAGTGAGGTTAATGTGGCTTATGGACCGTGCCTGGTAGGTTGTCCAATTCAACATATGGTTCTTACCCGTCATCGGAAAACTGACCTTTAGGCGTCAGCCTCCTGTCTTAGGTTGATACCACTGCAATTGGATCATACCCGTCACTGACTACCGGTCCAGCATAAGCCATTGGCCCCCAAATTTTAGACCATCACTAGCAGAAGGGAGGAGGAATCAGAAATGCCACGACACCAAGCCAATTGACGGCTCCTTGGGAAAAATTGCATCACTGGTGACACCACCAGCAAAGATATGTCAGCACTACCACAATTAACATGGGGTGCGCTGGCAAGGAAATAAAAATTGCATCACTAGTGACACCATCAGCAAAGATATGCCAGCATTACCACAATTCGCTGCACCAAACGATAGTTACATAGTCCAGGCAAGTTCTGCAAGCAGTTCAAAGCAGAGGAATCTATCAATATGTCCATTTCCTCCCAAAATCCGTTTCCTCCCAAAGTAAGTTGACTCTTTGATTGAGCATTACTTGTTGAGTTCTTCACCGGCACTGGGATGGAGATAGGAATTCTGGCAATGATGCTAAAGAGACATTATCCTGAAAAGAATTATTAAATATAATGAAAAGGAAAGGTGAAAGTAAACAAACAGATCTGTTAACCTACTTTAAAAACAATCCTTAACAGCTTTTTACCTAATTTAAATTAGTAAACAAACATCTGTTAACCACCTTTAAAAACAATCCTTAACAGCTGTTTACATAATTTAAATTAAACGATTTAAATCACGTGAATAAAAAAATAATAATAATTCGGATCCATTTTTTCATGAGCGCTCCTCATACAAGAAATATGGACATACGCACATACAGACATACAACACAAAACACAAGAGTGTACACAAACGTACAACACATAAGAAAATAGTAAAGGCCTTGTAGCTTTACCTAGGTGAAATCTCCATTGCAATGTTTAAAAACTCCACAGTCAAAAAATAAAACTGATCAGAAAAACATTAACCTAGGTTTGTATGAGCTCAAAAAATAAAAATAGAACCTTATGATGTGGAAAAATGCAATAATAAAATAGCTATTGAAAAAAGCATCCTGGTTAATCACTGTCGCAGATGTAAGAATGGCCAAGCTGGAGTTCTGGATATCAACTGTTATGGATTTGAGTCAAATCATCTTCTTTTCGATCTGTAGAAACTGTTTTAGTTAATCTCTCTGGAATCCAAATGGGCTGCTGTTCTCCCTGTGGAAAAACACAAACAGACCCCCGACTCCAGACAATCACTGGGTCAGGACCTTTCCATTGTCCTGTTAGAATATCTTTCCAAAGTACTTTAGGCTTATGTACATTTTTTGGATACATATGCCTTTCCGCAGCACTAAGTCCTGATGAATCCAAATTTAAAAAGTTTAGAGTAAAAAGCGTTATTTTAAGTTTATCTTTGGGGGATATATACCCCCTTCCAATTCCCTCTTTTTGCTTTAATAAGTATGTTTTAATAGTTTGATGAGCTCTTTCAACTATGCCTTGTCCCTGTGGATTGTATGGGATTCCTGTTATATGAGTAATACCAAATGATGAGCAAAATTGTTTAAAAGAGGTAGAGGTATAGCCAGGACCATTATCGGTTTTTAACTGTTTAGGAACGCCCACAGTGGCAAAATTTTGTAAGCAATGAGCTATAACATCTTTAGTTTTTTCTCCGGCATGAAGGGAGCCCATCAAAAATCCAGAAGAAGTATCGACTGTAACATGTAAATATTTTAATTTTCCAAATTCTGGCAACTGTGTGACGTCCATCTGCCAAATATGGTTAGGTATCAGTCCTCTAGGATTGACTCCAAGATTAACTTGTGGTAAAAATGTCACACAATTTTGACATTGTTTTATTATATGTCTGGCTTGTTCCTTAGTTATTTTAAAACGCTTTTGTAAAGTATTAGCATTAACATGAAACCTTTTATGAAAATTTGTAGCTTCTTCAAATGTAGAGAAAATATGTATGTCATGTGTAGTTTTATCTGCTAAATCATTGCCTAAACTAAGGGCTCCAGGCAATCCTGTATGTGCCCTAATATGTCCTATAAAGAATGGATCTTTTCTGTCCCAGATTAGACTTTGTATAGTGGAAAACAAAGAGAAAACAGTAGAAGAAGGGGAAATCCTACCAGCATCTTCAAGAGATACTATAGCATTAACTACATACTGACTATCAGAAAATAAATTAAATACAGAATCTTTAAACATCACAAAAGCTTGTAAAACTGCATTAAGCTCTACCTTTTGAGCTGATTGTTTGGGTACTAAAAATGTAAAAGTTTGATCAGGGGTAACTACTGCTGCTGTACCATTATTTGACCCATCAGTGAATATATTTGGAGCATTCATGATAGGTGTTTTTCTTGTCATTTTAGGAAAAACTACAGGATGCTTAGACCAAAAAGACAACAAAGGATTAGATGGTAAATGATTATCAAATGAAACATTAGATTTACACATGATTATTGCCCAAGTATTTAACTCATTAGCTAACTCATCAATTTGATCCATAGTATATGGAGTAATAATTTTATTGGGAGAAATTCCAAACACTCCCTTTGCTGCTTTTATTCCTTTGAGTATTAATTGTCCTACAGCCTCAGGATACCTAGTAAGAATAGTGTTAGGAGAATAAGATAAATGTATCCACAATAATGGACCTTCTTGCCAAAATACTCCTGTAGGAATATTTTTTGTTGGTAGTACAATAAATAATAAAGGCAAACTTATATCAATTCTATCCAAATGTATGTTTTCCATATATGTTTCAATAATTTTTAATGCCTTTCTCGCTTTAGGAGTTAACATGCGGGGTGAATTTGGATCTGATGGACCTTTTAGAATATCAAATAAAGGTCCCAATTCTCCTGTTGGTATACCTAGATAAGGCCTTATCCAATTTATGTCTCCCAATAACTTTTGAAAGTCGTTAAGTGATTTGAGTTGATCTACTCGTATTTGAATTTTTGGTGGACGGACCATGGTTGAGGATAATAGAACTCCTAAATAATTAATTGGAAAATTTAATTGTACTTTATCTATTGCTATCTCTAGATTATAATTTTTTAATAAGTTTGTAAGTGTGGCATAACATTCCAGCAATATGTTTTTATCTTTATGTGCCAATAATACATCATCCATATAGTGAAATATTTGTAGTTCAGGATTTTGATTTCTAAGTGGCTGGATTGCTTTGTTAACATATATTTGACACATAGTTGGACTGTTAGCCATCCCTTGAGGGAGTACTTTCCATTCATATCTCTGATCAGGACCTTCATGATTTAATGCAGGGATAGTAAATGCAAAACGTGGACTATCCTCGGGATGAATTGGAATTGAAAAAAAACAATCTTTAATATCTATAGCTAAAACATGCCAGGTTTTTGGCAAAGCAGACAATTGAGGAATCCCTGATTGAGCAGGTCGCATAACAACCATCTCATTATTAATGGCTCTTAAATCTTGCAATAATCTCCATTTACCAGATTTCTTTTTGATGACAAAAATGGGAGTATTATGGGGAGATATGGAAGGTTGTATATGTCCTTCCGTTAATTGTTGTTTGACCAGATCATGGGCTACTTGTATCTTTTCTTTAGTCAGGGGCCACTGAGGAACCCACACTGGTCTTTCTGATTTCCAAGTAATTTTGATTGTCTCAGTGGCCCTTTCTGAAAATCCAACCCATGTCTGTCTGTTCCTTGATCTATTTGTACTGGTGCTGCTATACCTTGCCCTTGTTTTCCTAATCTTTTTTCTTTCCTAAAGCCTTGTCTAGCCCTAGTAGTGGGCGCATTAGGATTGATGTTATTTGTTAACGTCAAACCTAATTGATCTAGGACATCTCGTCCCCATAAATTTATAGGAAGATGATCCAATACATATGGCTGTATAGTTCCTTCACATCCTTCAGGATCCTTCCAATCTAATATCATAGAACTTCTATGGGGATTAGTCGCCACTCCTAGGCCTCGAAGCGTTTGAGTGGCTTGTTGTAATGGCCAATGTTTTGGCCATTCTTGACGAGATATGATGCTAAGGTCAGCTCCTGTGTCCAGTAGCCCATTAAACTCATGACCTTGAATATTTAGTTTTAGCATTGGGCGAGAATCTATGTTGGCAGCAGGTCCACCCTGGCCCCTGGAGCCCTACCTCCACTAGTTTGTTCTGCATGCCAGTGTGGCCAGCTCACAAGGCCATGGAGAACTTGCGGTTTTTCTGTTCCTGCTTGTCCGTCTGAGACATATGTATCCCACGGGAATGCCTTGACCTTTTCTGGTCTGATGGACTTATTGTTAAGGGAGGTTTCGGTACCTGACAATAATAGATGTTGAAACTAAATTTCTCCCCCCTCCCTCCTGCTTTTGGGTAGTTTTCCACTTCTGCTGCTTGGGGTATAAAACAAGGTGTGTTAGCAATAAAGATTATTGACTCCTGGATGAAGAACCTTGGTGTCCTGTGTGTCTTTTAACCTCGCCGTCCCTCGCCGGACTCGGCTCCCTTGGCCGGACGCGGCAATTGGAGGTTCCCACCGAGATCCGGAAAGCAGGGGTAAGCGGACGGGGCTCACCTTCTAAGAAAGAAGGGGGAGGATTGGTTTAAAGATAATTTAAAGAGACAGGGTACGTACCATGGGTAACTCAACAGCGAAGGTTCGTCTGGCCAACGAACTGAAAGAGCTGTTAAATACACAAGGAACAGGAATAAAAACTAAGACTGCAACCGAATTCGTTGAAATTATTGCCCAGGCTTGTCCTTGGTTTCTGACAGGAGGATTTCTTAATAATAGTGACTGGGACCTGGTGAGGCATGACCTTCAGAAATTATTGAGGGACCGGGGCTTGGACAGTGTCCCAGTTGCCACCTTTTCTTTATGGAGGTTGGTAAAGGATGCTTTATTAACAGATAAAGTAAAGATCAAGGATCAGCTTGCTGAATGTGAACAGGCCCTTAATCAGGTGCAGGAAGAGCAAATGGCAGAATCCTTAAAGGATGAGGATCCCCTTGAGGACTCAGGCTCGGAGGGTAGGAAACGCCTCCAGATTTCTAAGCCCAAAAATGATCCTGAGGACCTCAGTTCTCTCTCTGAGGAAGAGGAGGGATTAGAGAGGGAGATAGAGGAACTAGAACATTGCCTTAAAAGGGCAAATGTGAGGGTGCCTAGGGCCCCCTCAATTGCCGCACCTCCTCCCTATAATCCTGATTGGAATGAGGACGCCCCTACTAGACGGGCGGGGGTCCACTGGGGTTCTAGAGCGGCTCAGGTTTTTCCAATGATTGAAAACGCCGATGCTGATGGACAGCCGGCCAGAGCCCATGTCCCCCTAGCCTTCAAGGACATAAAACAGCTTAAGGAGGCGGTCATTAATTATGGACCTCATGCCCCTTTCACATTGACCCTCTTCGAGTCCTTCTCAGCCAGTCAACTGATACCCAATGATTGGCAGCAACTTTCCAGGGCTGTGTTATCTGGAGGGGATTTCTTATTGTGGAAAAGTGAATATCATGAAAGGTGCCGCGAGCTGGCTCAGATTAACCTGAATGCGGGCCATCAACGGCGAAATGCTGAAATGTTGACAGGAACTGGGCAGTATGCCACCATAGGCCAACAAATTAATTACGACCCAGGTGTTTATGCTCAAATAGCCTCAGCTGCAGTCCATGCCTGGAAAACCCTGCCCGTTTCTAAGACTGAAGCAAAAATTTCCAAGATCTCTCAAGGACCCTCTGAACCTTATTCGGACTTTATAGCCCACCTAATGCAGGCTGCAGGAAAAATATTCCCTAATCTAGAACAGGCTATGCCACTTATTAGACAACTGGCATATGAAAACGCTAACACTTACTGCCAAAATGCTATTAAGTCCTCCCGGGCCAAAAGTATAGATGACATGATTCGAGCATGCAAAGATATAGATGGGCCTCATATTACTGGTCAGGTTTTGGCTGCTGCCCTTAAGACTGGAATGCAAAAAGCTGATAACAGGGGAACCCGCTCTAAGGGGTGTTTTAAGTGTGGGAAAGAGGGACATATAAAGAGAAACTGCCAGGAAAGGAGTGAGGGTGCTGGCAGAGGGATGCCTGGAATTTGTCCTAGATGTCATAAAGGAAATCATTGGAGCAGTGAGTGCAGGTCAAAATTTGACATCCAGGGTAACCCAATA